TAAACCATTTACCAGTGGTTTTGGCACTGTGAGCAGGTGCCAGGTCGTGCTGAAAAATGAAATCTTCATCTTCATAAAGCTTTTCAGGAGATGGAAGCATGAAGTGCTCCAAAATCTGAAAGATAGCTGCATTGACCCTGGCCTTGATAAAACACAGTGGACCAACACCAGCAGCTGACATAGCACCCCAGACCATCACTGACTGTGGGTACTTGACTCTGGACTTCAGGCATTTTGGCATTTCCTTCTCCCCAGTCTTCCTCCAGACTCTGGATCCTTGATTTCTGAATGACATGCAAAATTTGCTTTCATCCGAAAAAAGTACTTTGGACCACTGAGCAACAGTCCAGTGCTGCTTCTCTGTAGCCCAGGTCAGGCGCTTCTGCTGCTGTTTCTGGTTCAAAAGTGTCTTGACCTGGGGAATGAGGCACCTGGAGCCCATTTCCTGCACACGCCTGTGCACGGTGGCTCTGGAAGTTTGTACTCCAGACTCAGTCCACTGCTTCTGCAGGTCCCCCAAGGTCTGGAATCGACCCTTCTCCACAGTCTTCCTCAGGGTCCGGTCACCTCTTCTTGTTGTGCAGCATTTTCTACCACACTTTTTCCTTCCCACAGACTTCCCACTGAGGTGCCTTGATACAGCACTCTGGGAACAGCCCATTGGTTCAGAAATGTCTTTCTGTGTCTTACCCTCTTGCTTGAGGGTGTCAGTGGTGGCCTTCTGGACAGCAGTCAGGTCAGCAGTCTTACCCATGATTGTTGTTTTGAGTAATGAACCAGGCTGGGAGTTTTTAAAAGCCTCAGGAATCTTTTTCAGGTGTTTAGAGTTAATTTGTTGATTCAGGTGATTAGGTTAATAAGTCGTTTAGAGAACCTTTTCATGATATGCTAATTTTTTGAGATAGGGATTTTTTGTTTTTCTTTACTTTTTTTTGCCAAAATCATCAATATTAAAACAATAAAAGGCTTGAACTACTTCAGTTGGTGTGCAATGAATCTAAAATGTATGAAAGCTTACTGTTTATCAGTACATTATAGAAAATAATGAACTTTATCACAATATGCTAATTTTTTGAAAAGGACCTGTATATATAATTCTAATTTTGCATTTGTTTCCTGGTTCTTCATTCACGCTGAAATGACTAAAGACAAATTCCTCCAGCTGGTCATAAAATAAATGCGGTCGGCTCCTCCAACACTTAGCTTATGAAATGTACGGTGGACGAAAAAAAAAGTTACAGGGTTTTTTACTCTGATTTATAATCACAAACTACAGGACATACCATATGCTGACTGGACAGAAAATCAGTACCAGTAATATCTACACAGTTCAGCCTAGTAGTAGTAAAGGTAATTTTACTGTTGTCCATTATATTTACCTCTCACAATGTTACCCTAACATCATAACAATATTAATAAAAAAATAATAATTTGTTGGAACAGCAAATTTGTCTTTTCGTTGGTTTACCCCACATAGGGTAGTCAAAATCCAGCTAGCATAACTGACCTACTTTCCGCATCTCCGACTTTTTTAAAATAAATATTTTAATGACCTATAAAATGTGATAACCTTTATCTTGTGATCTTGTGTTGTAGTGTTGACAATTTATGGCAAAACATTGCATCCCTTTTTGATATTCCTTGCATGACTGTCTGCTGCATCCCCTTTTTACCACCATTCACGGATGTTCCCGAGTCAAAACTCAATGCAGAGCAATGGCACCTGTGCGGCGCACGATAAGTCACGTGATGTCCAATCCAGTAATTTAGACCAATGGTTTTACCATCAGTGTTAACTGAGATTTAGATGTTTTCATCCAGTTTGAACTCACCGCTGTCCATCATCTCCATGAGGTTGACGATGCTGTCAAAAGCAGTCTGTCGAACACTATCCTCCTCGTCTTCAGCTAGCTCCACCAGCTCAGGAAGGAGCTCGGTTCTGGTATCATCTACCCTGAAGAACAAAGCCAAGCAGCGTTTTCAGAACAGCAGGACGCCACACTAATAAATACAGTGTTAGCATTAGGTTTACCCGATGGCTTGAGCGATGCTCTCAAACTGACGACACATACAGACTTGGACCTCTGGTTCCACATCTCGACACAAAGATCGGGCCAGTGGCAGCAACTCCTTCTTCACTCTGATGGCGGAAACATAGCTGTTAAGTGAGACAGCACCTGCCCATTCCTGCTCAGGTTTACTACTGTAGTCACGGCGAAATAAAACTTTTATTTCGTGCTCAGCTCACATGTGAGAGTCAAACTTGGAGACAACTTTTCCTAAAATACGGCAGCTGGCCAGACGAGCCTGAAGAGACTGAGAAACCTGAGAATGGTACAGGAGAGGGGTCAGGACCTGAGGACAGAAAAAAAGATGCAGAGAATGTCCAGTTTATTGTGAAGACAATATCAAGATTGTTCCTGAAACTAACTCTTCAAATAGTATCAAGACCCTTTGGCAGCAACCCTTGAAATCTAGTTCAAGTGCCCTAAATTGATCTTGATCTCTGCTGAGATGTGGCTACACCTCGATGGGAGTCCACCTGGAGTAAAGATCTCTCTATCCTCCTATTGAATGAAATCCAAGGCATTATCAACTCGCTCCCAACAATGATGCATGGTGGTGGGAGGATCATGCTGGTGGGTGCTGTTCAGGAGCACAAACTAAAGCCCCATCTTGTCCAGTCTCACTCTTTTGGTTCATGTCTGGTTCTGCTCAGGTGTGTGCCTCCATGTCAGTGTGTTCCTCACTCTGTGGGTGCAATTATGGCTGAATCGTCAGCATGCAGCATCAGTCATTGTGGTAAAAAGGGAAACAGAAAAAAAAATAGCCGTTGTAGCTGTCCGAAAGTCAGATTTTTTTAATTTTTGTTTTGTATTTTTGTCACGGCACTGTTTATGAGTGTGTAACCATGGGCGGTCCGAAACCTCCTGGGGTACCTGCTGATTTCAGACACTCCGTCCAGGTCGAGCTGTATGCTCTCGTCTCAGTCACCTTCAGACTTCAGGCAAAAGTCTGCTGACGTCATATCTAGGGATGGGTTCCTTTGACATTTGAATCGATTCGGTACAAATATCCGGTACCTGGGAATTGGTAACGGTACTTAACGGTAAATTTTCAGTACTTTGTGTGTTGTTGTTTTTTTAATAAACTTATTTAAACATATTACTCAATACCGTATATAAAATTTAACAAATATCAAGACAACATCCAACTCTTTGTGTTGTAACATCAGTTTTTTTAACTAATTTTTTTAAAGTGAAAACTGTTGAAAACAATAAGACTGTTTTGTCTTATTACACAAATTAAAATCCAGCTCCACATATTTCTATTGATGTCATTTCCCCGCTAGAAAAATTGTTTAATGGAGGTCCATGGAAGGCAAATAAGTTTAAATCAAATAAGCAAAAGAGGATGGAGTTTAAATAAAAGGTATTTAAGCTACGTTTTGAACATCCAAAACGCTCCCAACACTTCAAGCTGGCTGCTTGTGCTCTTTCAGGTCAGAGGCGTTCGGACTATCGGGAAGTGCCTCTGTTGTTTTCCTCTGTCGGTTTCTGTTTAATGGTGGATGAAATAAAGAAAGTGGCGGGACTTTATTTACTTTGAGCAGGTGAACGTCGTGCTCACAAGATAATTCAGAGGCGGTCTGTTCGACGAGTTTTAGTCCAGAAGCTGCGAGGCTCGGTTTCAAGCTACGTTAGACTGAGCTCTGTTTACTGAACCAGCGGCTGCTGACGTCATTACGCTCTTACGCAATGCTGCGTTCAGTACAAGCATGGAAAACTCACCACTCTCACGCCAATATGGTCGCAATGATGCATTTAGGTACCGAAACATGGTACCGTTTGATGTTACGTGAATAGGTTCTCGGTAGTACCGACAGAATTCGGTCTGTACTTAAATAAGTATTGAATTCGGTACGCATCCCAGGTCATATCACAAGAGTGCATTACTCGCTTCTACTTGTTTCGAACCACCTCTGAGGTGGTTCTGAAAGTGCAGTTGTAACCGGAAATGGAAAGACATTTGATGAAGGCTGATCTGAGGAGAACCACCCACACAGGCACACCCATAGAGAGGAAGCTTAAGAGACTGGTCATGGTTCAAAAATCCAACACCATCCCCACAGTGAAGAACAGTAATGGCATTATCATTCTGTGGGGTGTTTACAGCAAGAATACTGCTCAGAATTAAAAGTTGAACTGAGCAAAATTCAGAGAAATACTTGGTCAGGACATGAAACTTACTCCACAAATGATCTCCATCAATATAATTTTAAAGGAAAACTAAAACACTTTACTATGTCCCATTTGGCCACCCTGTCTGATACATTACTGCAGCGTTTCCATGTAAACAGGTAATTTTTTTGTTTATTCTCCCAAAAAAACATTGAAATAAACACCAGCATATCCAGAGACCTTGTCTTGTGTAAACAGAGTCTAAATGTTGTCCTTCTTCTTTTGGCTGCTCCCTCTTGCAGGGAGGTAAATGACACCTTCCTGATTCAATCTGGACTTGAACCTGCAGCCTCAGGATTACAAGACCATGGCTTTGACCACCTGGCTACCACAGCCCCCTTGAATTATTCACTGTAAATATTTAGTGTATTTAGCACCAAAGAGTAATTTACAGGCAGAACCAGAATAGGTGATGTCATGTCATCAACTGACCTCCTGTTTGATGGTCTCTCTGGGCAGAGCATTGATGGCCGACAGCAGAGTCTCCAACCAGGCACTGCTCACCACTGTCAACAAGACAACATCAGCAACATACACCAAGTCTTTGTCCTAGTGATCAAGACCAGAATCAACAGAAAGGTTCACTTGTTACCAAGGTGTACCTCGATGGTACACCAGAAAAGATCTAAAGAGTACATTAATTGTATGTGTACAGTACATCCAATAGGAGATATCCTGGTTACTGTGTGTTGAACCTCAGGAGTAATTCAAAGGTCAGGTGTGTTTACCTGGGTCTCTGTGGTTTAGGTGGGTCAAAACAATCTTCAGGATAGAGTAGGTATGTGTGTGGATCAGGATGATGTCATCCTGCAGGATGGTTAAAAATGAAGCTGCTGCTGCAAGCTGGATGTCATTGGTGGCTCCATTTAGGACTTCCTGGGTCACAAAGGTGGGACATGTTAACTTTGAGAGAGGTTTGTTTACAAGTACTTTAACAGAAGAAAACAGGTCTCTCTTGTAAATGGTTAGGATCATGAGACAAATTGAGACAAATGAGACATATGTATTTCAATGAGACTAGCCTGTATAAATAAAGGAAAATGAAATAGTACATACTCGAACTTTGGGTACTACTCGACGAAATGTCTCAGCTGGATTTTGACGGACCAGACTTGGCAGGTTGCTGATTACACTGGCTCTCTGGACCTCCTGACCCACGCTGAGCAGAAAAAAGGAAAGAGAAGAAATTTAACATGGAGAACATTTTATAATCTAGCAATGTTTCTGTTCAATACTGTAGCTAGACTAATAATGAGTTCTATCTCTGTTGTTTAAAATACAATGAAAAAATTGATTTATTTCAGTAATTCATTCAACAAGTAAAACTTGCGTATTATATTCATTACGCACAGACTGATATATTTCAAATGTTTGTTTCTTTTCATTTTGATGATTATAAATGACAACTAATGAAAACCCCAAATTTGCTGAAACAGTGTTCAGCAAAACTTGTGTCCAACAGAGGAGATATTCTGGATCAAAATATATTTGTAGCAGCCAGAACAGAACCAAACTGAACACCGAAAACAGAGGACAAATAAAAAACTGGACTTCTTTTTAGATCATTAGCCCTGAATACCACTATTGTTCACAGAGGACAATCAGCACCATCAGCACTAACAGCCGGACGATCATAGTAATAAGCAGGGCCCTAACGACCATCAGGCTGATGGTGCTGATGGTCCTCTGTGAACGATAGGGATATCCAGGACCCTAACCATCTATTGTTAGACTGATGGTCCTCTGTGAACAACAGAGATATTCAGGGCCCTAACAATGTATTGTTAGGCTGATGGTCCTCTGTGAAAAATAGGGAAATTCAGGGCCCTAACTATCTGGTGTTAGGCTGATGGTCCTCTGTGAACAATAGGGGTATTCAGGGCCCTAACGATCTATTGTTAGGTTGATGGTCCTCTGTGAACAACAGAGATTTTCAGGGCCCTAACGATTTACTGTTAGGCTGATGGTCCTGTGAAAAATAGGGACATTCAGGATCCTACCTATCTAGTGTTAGGCTGATGGTCCTCTGTGAGCAATAGGGGTATTCAGGGCCCTAACAATCTGTTAGGCTGATGGTCCTCTGTGAACAATAGGGATATTCGGGGCCCTGACAATCTATTGTTAAGCTGATGGTCCTCTGTGACCAACAGAGATATTCAGGGCCCTAATGGTCTATTGTTAGGCTGCTGGTCCTCTGTGAAAAATAGGGATATTCAGGGCCCTAATGGTCTGTTGTTAGGCTGATGGTCCTCTGTGAAAAATAGGGATATTCAGGGCNTGGTCCTCTGTGAAAAATAGGGATATTCAGGGCCCTAATGGTCTGTTGTTAGGCTGATGGTCCTCTGTGAAAAATAGGGATATTCAGGGCCCTAACGATCTATTGTTAGGCTGATGGTCCTCTGTGAAATACAGGGATATTCAGGGTCCTAGCTATCTAGTGTTAGGCTGATGGTCCTCTGTGAATAATAGGGATATTCAGGGCACTAGTGTGTATTTTCACAGAGTGTGGATTTATACACAGAGTGTGTATTTAAAGATGTATTTAGTCACAGTGTGTATTTATATGTGTATTTAGTCACAGAGTGTGCACTTATACACAGATCATGTAGTCACAGCGTGTGTATTTTAATGTGCATTAAGTCGCAGAGTGTCTATTTAAACACAGAGAGTGTAGACACCTTGACACCAGCCATGCCATGTTTAAAAAAGAAATCTATGCAAATCTTTGAATATGAGGTCCCAGGTAAAGCTCCTTAGGTGATGTGCCTAAACATGTCACTCATGTCAGATCTCACCTAAGCAGGTAGACTGCTCTCTCCACATCATTAAGGTCTTCATTCACTGTCAGCTGATCGATCTCTTCAGTAGTCTAAAAAACATCAAACATATCAGTTTTGATCCAACGAGGGTCAGCGTGTCAGATCGCATAAACATTATAAGAAATATTCTGAGCCCCTACCCCTTCATTAATCTTAGACCCCACGCCTTCATTAACCTGAGACTCCACCCCTTCATCAACATGACCCCCACCCCTTTATCAACCTGACACCCCACCCCTTCATTAACCTGAGACCGCTAATACCTTTCTATAGTCCAGGGTCTGAACCAGTCCTCTATCCAGACACACACACACGTTTGTTTTTCTATCCTCAAGGGGAATTTGCATTGACTTCCATTCATTTTGCGCCCATTTCTATAGCATTACCTTGTCACCTTATTCTAAAATTAACTTAAACTCAGGTTACTAACCTGACTCTAACCTAACCTTAACTCAATTCACACCTTGGTTCTGAACCAAACCCTTGCCCCATTGGGCTTTTGTCCCCATTAGGAACAGTGGGTCCTCACCACGCTGTGTGTACCGGGTAATGGTCAAAAATCATCCCCAATCATGTACACACACACACACACACACACACACACGCACACACACACACACACACACACACACACACACACACACAC